GGTCTTTCCGGGTGGCTAGATTCAACTTTCGATAGTCCATACAAATTCTCCAGCCTGTGACGGGTCTTGTTGAGATCAATTCATTGTTGTCATTTCTCATAACTGTCATGCCACCCTTTTTAGGAACACATTGCACTGGGCTCACCCAGCTGCTGTCAGAGATTGGGAAAATAATTCCTGCATCCAACCACTTTATCACCTCCTTCTTCACCACTTCCTTCATGTTGGGGTTTAGCCTCCTCTGATGTTCCCTGGAAGGTTTGTGCCCCTCTTCCAGCAGAATCTTGTGCATGCAGTAGGCGGGGCTGATCCCCTTGATATCTGCCATGGTCCACCCTATGGCAGTTTTGTACTCCTTTAGTACCTGTAAAAGTTTTTGACCATGTACGTCTAACAAACTAGATGAGATAATAATAGGTAATGTGGAGTCAGGTCCCAGGAATTCATACCTGAGGTGGGCTGGTAATGGCTTTAACTCCACCTTTTGTGGTTCTTCAATGGATGGCTTGGCTGGAGGGGTTTCTCTCTTTTCTAAGTGCAAGGGCTCAAACTCTAGATTTCTCTCCCAGAACCCTCTACCTTCCAATGCCAACACCCATTTCGCCATATCCTCACCATTCACTTCATCTAAGTTCATCAAACATGCAACAAGGGGGTCCTCACTTGTCAACACCTCATCATCAGACTCTATAATAACATCCATGACATCAATAAGAGAGCAATTGACGAACTCGCTTGGTCGCCTCATAGACTTCTGCACATTGAACGTTATTCCTCATCATTAAGTCTCATTTTGAGCTCCCCAGTCTCACAGTCAATCAGAGCTCTCCTCGTGGCCAAGAATGGTCTTCCTAAGATTATAGGAATATCTTCATCCACTTTGCAATCCAAGATCACAAAATCTGCAGGGAACACAAATTTCCCCACCTGAATCAGCACATCATCAAGGATACCGAATGGACGCTTCACAGTCCTGTCAGCCAGCTGCAGCAACATGGAGGTGGGTCTAGCTCTCCCAATGCCCAACCTCTTATAGATAGCCAGGGGCATGAGATTAATGCTGGCCCCTAAATCACAGAGTGCCTTAGCAAAGGCGAAATTCCCAATAGTGCATGGAATTGTAAAGCTACCTGGGTTAGACAGCTTTTCAGCAATAGGTCTCGTCACCACTGCACTACAGGTCTGAGTAAGTGTAACCGTAGCCAAGTCTTGAAAATAAAATTTCCGGGACATCAAGTCCTTCATCATTTTTGCGTACCCAGGCATCTCATTTAAAGCTTCAATCAGTGGAATATTTACCTGGATTTGTTTGAGCATTTCAAAGAACTTTTTATACTGCTCCTCCTTTTGATGCTTGGCAAGCCTTTGTGGAAAGGGTGCAAGAGGTCTCTTCTTCCCAATCACTTGGGACTTCTCTTTATCAGATTCTATTTCAACTACTGGCTCTTCAACTGGCTTAGCTACTTTCTCAGTCTCCTGCTGAATGTTCTTTTCTTCCTGAGCAGGTTGGACTGTCACTTCTGTCAGTATCGTAGACTCATCCAGCTCAATAGGCACTGGAATGAATGTCTCAGCCTGTATATTTTCTCGAGCTCTCTTTTGTTCTACATCTAGATCCCTACCATTACGGAGACTCACCGCCATCAGCTGCTTTGGGCCCTGATCTTTTGGATTAATCTGGGTGTCTGCAGGTAATGTCCCCTGAGGACGATTGTTCAGAGACATTGAAATTTGGCCCAATTGCACTTCAATATTTTTGATTGCTACGTCATGTGCATCTACTATTTCATTTATTTTTGCATTGGACCCAATAACCTGCTGCATCATTGCTTCAAGTCTCGTGAACCCATCTTCTTGCCTTCCACCATGCTGTTGCTGAGGTGGGAGATACCCTTGCTGCTGATTGTTGTACCCATGTGGTCTTGGATAAGGTGCCATATTGTTGGGAGGTCTCATACCTCCCATGTTTCCAGCGTTGTACTGTGGCTGAGGTGGTCTGTATGGCTGCTGAGTTTGCTGACCCCAGTTTTGATTGCTCTGTCTCTAGCCTCCATAGTTTGCTACATAGTTCATGTCCTCAGGGTGCTGATAATGATGATCATGTTCAGCATTCCACGGATTACCAATTGGCTGACTAATGCAAGATGTGCACAAGCCCCCATTGGTAGTATCTACAATGTGCACTTGCTGTTTCTGCCCCGATTCTCCACCTTTTTGGTGAGTATGCTCATCTGTGTCAAAAGGGTCGCCACATTTTCAGCCATGGAATTTGATGGGTCAAAAGGCACTGAGTGTACCACTGGAGTGATAGGTGCATTCCTCGTCATCCACCCCGAATTCTGAGCCATTTTGTCAAGCAGACTCTAACCTTCTCTCCAAGTTTTGCTCAAAAATGCCCCACCAGCTGAGGCATCTACAATGTTCTTCATGCTATCTGTCAGTCCCATGTAAAACCGTTGTCCCAACATCTGATCTGGAATACCATGGTGTGGACATATAACCAACATTCCTTTAAACCGGCTCCATGTCTCATGCAGTGTCTCCATTGGTTTCTGTTTAAAGCTCACGATCTCATCAATTTGTTGAGTTGTTTTGTTGGGCGGGTGGAACTTGATGTGAAATTGCTTGACTAACTCATCCCAAGTTTCTATAGAGTTTATGGGGAGTGAGTTTAGCCAGACCTGAGCAGCTCCTGTCACCGAGAATGGAAATAATAACAGCTGATTGCTTCTGGAGTTACGTTGGGTTGCCTTTGAGTTTTGCAAATCGACAGGAAGTTCTTCAAGTGCTGTTGAGGATCTTCGGCTGGTGTCCCAGAAAATAGTCCCTTGTTTTGCAGCAAGTGCAACATGTTATTCGTGATCTGGAATGATTCAGCTTGTATTGCGGGTACAACAATGGCAGTGGCCAGATTGTCAGCTGTGGGTTGTGCCCAGTCATATAGTGCAGCCTCAGGCACAGGAGGTGCCCTATCTCTGACGTTTCTGTTGACGTTGTCTACGTCACCCATGTCAATTTCGAGGTTGTGTGTTTGATGAGGTTGTTGAAGTATTTTGTTGGCACAGTTCAATATACGGAATGTTTTCTCGGGGTTTGAGAGTCCTTTAAGTAATTCTCCAGTCCTCGTAGAGTTTCTAGGCATACACCTGTGCAACCACGTCAACAACCGTCAAAATTTTCAATCAAAACTTGGTGTAGAGAAGACTGACTATACTAAGAATTTTTGTATTTCTATCAATGGTAATTGATACTTCCGTTAAGTGCCCGACAACAGTGCCAAAATTTGATCACGCCCAACTATGCCTTATAAAAAGGACAATGCGGACGTTGCAAATATAACCTGAGTATTCTGCCCAGAGTCGAATCCACAGAGAATTAACCTATCAATCACTATCTTTAGAACTACTAAACTCTTGAGAACCAATTTCTCCAAACATTTGAATCACAGTTGATGGTGTCTTCAATAACTAAAATTGCACGTAAATAAACAGCTTTAAACTAAGGATGCTAAGGTTGTAAACAATAATGAAAAGACGCTAAGGTAATGACTTCTCCTATTGATGGAGTCCCTTCTATTTATGCTTCATACAAATTGACCAACACCTCTCTATCAACCATGAACGCTCATCTTACCGTAATTCTCTCCCGAGTAATTACAGTAATATACTCAATGCACTCTTCCGAGGTACATTAGCTAGCTCTAATTAACACGGTTCACTTTAGATTACACTCAAGGCTTCGTTATCCCTAATCCCGCCTTTACACCCGCAGTTATAGGTCCCTCTTATACTTTGGGAGTGGTGTTGTTCAACAATAACCTAAATATGCACTCTCTCCCGAGTTATGCACACTAAATAGGCACAGCTAATTGAGGATCCTGTCAATTAACTATAACATACACAGAGTTGAACAAATAAAGATTGAGACTAGCAATTTGTATTAACATAAACAAGAAGTTCATCCCCAAATAGGTTCCATCAAAACCATAGACAAAGTATTTAGCTACTCATAACTATGGGTAAATAAACTAAAACAATATTCATCATAAAACTTGCGAGAAAAATAAAGAGAAGAAGAAACCAAGATATTTTGGGTGCTCTCTCACACTTCTCTTCTTGCCAAAAAAACTCTCCAAAATAATACATGCCTCTCTTGGGCGAAGTCTAGTGTTTAAAATAGGGTTTTGGGCTAAAAATCCCGTGTTTTGCACTTTAGTCCCTGAAGTTGTCTGCCTCCGCCGCGATTCTGCCGCAGTCGCGGTCAAACCGCGGCCAAACTTGCTCTCTGATTCTCACTTTGTCTGCAGCCCTCTTCTACCGCGGTTCTGCCGCGGTCGCGGTGGAACCGCGACAATACTCTTTTAGTTCTGACTTGATCTGTTTCGCGTGGTTTACTTGACGGAATTTTACGATCAGCCTCTTTTTCTCCATATTTGATCCCAAAAGTACTCCATAGCCTTCTCTGGTCATATATAACCTGCAAAGCATGAACAACACTAATAAGAGCATTTTGTTATCACTTTTATCATCCAAACTATACAAGAAGGTGATTATTTAGGGCCTAATTATAGTTAAATTCACCTCCTATTAGCACACAAGCCGATGAATTATTGATAGCACTTTTTTTTCGAGGTTTTAAAATACCGAGATGATTATTTAATTTAAAGATGACATTTTGGGTCATCACAATTTGAGACAGGAATTTTTTTGGCATGATCCAAAAATAGGGGAATCTCTGGCCGATTTTTTGTAAAATACCGATGAAGCTTACTTGGGGGCACTTGCTCCTAAGCGCCAGTCATGATCCTAAATTGGATCGTGACAAGGGAGTGCACCGAATTCGGCAATAAATTGAACACTTGATGATTTCGCAACTCCATAATTACCACGAAGAAACGTCAATTGTTCAAACTTCAAACTTCAAATATTAAATAATACGATAAATGAAATTCCAAAAAAATGAGAGCCAAATACTTAATTGCACCGATTTGGGCCGATTTGGGCCAATTAACCGGTTCTACAATAAATCCCGTTGATAGAGTTTGACCGGGCCGGTTAACCGGTTGCCCCAAGTTAAACGGACCAACCCCTTGCCCTATTAACCCAGCCCACTCGGCCCCCTTTGTACCGATCCAAGCCAGTTCTGGTTTCAACCGGTCTGGGCCGGTCAGGAAGCGGACTGACCCGGCCCTTTAGACACCCTTAGTTTCTTGAGAAAATCTCACTTTATACCCATTAATTCCAAACTATTTATCCTTTAATGCTCAGGACCAAACTATTTACTACTCCTACCCATGCGGCTCAAACTATTTACCCGCTAATTCCAGCGATACTTTATGCATCCAAGAACTGAGGCATTGGTTTGCCCTATTCTCTCATCCGTTCGCACTGAAAATTGAAATAACTTCAAGCCTTCGTGATTTTAGCACTGCAAACAAGTTTTCAACACTAAAATACAGGGCATAATTCAAAAACTAGATCATAGGAAGAACATATCAATTTTTGAAACTTCATATGAATGAGTTCAAAATGTCAGATCTGATTTTTTATAGTGTTTTACTGTTGAAATTCGTTAGTTATTGTTCTTTGATATGTAGATTGTACCTTTGATGCTAGTTTTTGGAGATTTATTGTACAAAAAATTAAATCCACCATTGAAGGATCTTGAAGCTTGAAACTTATAACTTGGTTTGTTTGAATTTTTAATTATTTTGATCCAATCCTGTATGGGTTTGTTTGGAAAGTTGATTGGAGGTTGTAGCTAAAGTTTTAGTCAATTTGGTGGAGATTTTGTAGTAGATTTTAAAAATTTGGGTTGGAATATAGTTGAACCAGAGAAGAAGACGAATTTGTATTGTATACCCAAACAGTATACAAATATACCATTTTGGTATACAATTCATTCCAACTATATACCCTATTAGTATAACTATATACTATATTGGTATCATATGCTAGTTGAATCATCTTTTGGTTGTATTAACTGCATTTAATTGGTACAATATTTGATTTTCTTTTAATAATAGTAATATAATACAATATCTTGAAATACCTTATTATATTAATATGTGGTACACTATTTTTTTATTTTTCTCTTTATGCATGTGTGTTATGTAATAGTAGTATAGTCATATAGTTGCCGGGAATTAACTAGTAAAATTGTATACCATGTTGGTATAGTTATATGCCATATTGGTATCATATGGTAGTTGAATATTGTTTTGGTTGTTTTAGCTGCATTTTAAGTGAATTCTATTATGAAAATATTTATATTAACATGAGTTGCAATGTTGGAATTTTTGTGTGCCGATGGACATAAATTATGTGTATAATAGTTTTTATAGTTATAGGCAATTGTTGGAATGACCCCATACAACTATATACCCTTTTAGTATACGAAATGAGCAAGTTGTTTTGCGAATATTTAGCTTGCAATACGAGCATATAATTTTCTCATACTTTTATTGCGTCCTTTAATGTTTTGTTACAGTAGTATAGTCGCAGATAGTTGTAGCAATATTCTAGAGAAATCATATGCTCTGTTGGTATACATATATACCATATTGGTATCACATGGTAATAGAAATCTTTTTTGCTACTTATACTTTTGTTGCATTTTTCAATATTTTATTGTCATTTTTGTTCTAACTAGTATATATGGAGATTTGGTTACCGTAGATTATGTTTTCTTGCTCTATAACTTATTGTATTACTACTAATGGTAAAGTGTGTACTGATATTTATAGGGAATGAGATCAAGGTTTGCATGTCAATCACGTGTTGATTCTTAGAATCTGATTATTTGTAATTTATGGTGCTCAGCAGCAATCAATATGATATTCAATGAATTAGATCAAGTGACAACTAATATTATTTCAGTTTAATAATTGAATTTAAAAAATGAGAAATAACAAAAATAAAAGGTATATTGTACTAGTTATATTAAAAAAGGTAAACAAATGTTTACTATATCAATTATTTTTTCTTATTGTATAAAAAAATAAATAAAAAATAATAAAAACGGTAAATGAAATTAGATTATGAAGAGAGAAAGAATAAAAAAAAGAAGTTAAATGAAATTAGAAAAGGAAAAAAGAAAAAAAATAAGAAGAAAAAGAGAAAAAGGAAAAGGAGAAAAGAAAAAAAAAGAAAAAGAAGAAGAAAAGAAATATAAAAATAAAAAAGAATTGGAGAATAAAGAAAAAAATTCCCACAAAAATTATTATGGATAGAAAATATAATTAATTTATGAATTAAAAAATAAATGAATAAATAAAGATAAATAATTTATTTTTGTGAGTAACTGTGTCAAATCGATAGTTTCATATCATGCCATTCCAGCTCCATGCCGTATTTTATAGTCGAAAAATTGGAATAAATATAAGGGTAGTGGCATCTTGTTATTCAACTCACCTAGGAGGCTAATTTTGTAATAGTTGCGTCGGACCTGTGCTGAAATTTAAAATACGACTAATGGACATTTCGAATCCGGAGATTCTACTAACGTATTAAAAAGCTCAGTGGCTGAACTTCCAATGTTGTGATAT